TGCTCATTTGAACTATTTTTTTTTGTTCATTTGATATATTTTTTTGCCCATATTTAAACTATTTTTTTGTTCATTTGAACTATTTTTTTGCTCATTTGAACTATTTTTTTGTCCATTTGAACTATTTTTTTTTCATTTGAACGATTTTCATGTTCATTTGAACTATTTTTATGTTCATTTGAACTATTTTTATGTTCATTTGAACTATTTTAATGTTCATTCTGTGTAATGTTTATCTAATTAATTGTCATGAATATAACTTATAATGGAGATTATAAAAAAAATTTTAAAACTGAATTGGGGTAGAAAAATAGTTCAAATGAGTAAGAAATGCGTTGATTTAAACTACAGGATATGACGTCATGTCAGTAGTTCAAATGAACAATAGTTCAAACGAGCAATATTTCAAACGTACCATAGTTCAAACGGCAGTAGTTCAAATGCGGATCCACCGTCTGAAGTCAGATCATGGTATACGCATCCTTAAAGAAATGATTACTTGATTAAGATACCAGTCATAAGGTATATAGAAATAAACGTTTATCAATAAATCAATCAAGAAATGACTACATTCTACCTCCATCACACAATTCACACCCCTGCCCTCTGGCTGCCATTATAATAGCCATATATCCTTAAATCCTTATAATATATCTCCTTATCCTATTCCTAGGCCCTGCTGCACTTGCATATCCCGCATATCACAGATTTTTTCCAAATTACTCCTTTTCCCTGCCCTAGCTTCACCTCTCAAAATTATACTACGATCCATGCGCCATGGCTTCCACCTCACCATGATCCTATCCAACTCATCCAACCTATACTTCTTATATTCCTGCTCCTATAGCTTCACCTTTCGATCCTATCCAACCCACTCCTAGCTTCCATATTCTTAGATCCTATCCAACCTATTCCATATCCCTTCACCAAAGCTTCCACATATCCTAAATCCTACCTGCAACCTCCCTATCCCTTGCCCTAGCTTCCACGTACCTAGATCCTATCCTAATTGCTCCTTAAATCCATGCTTCTAGCTTCCACCTATCCTATTAAACCTAGATTCTTATTTCCATGCTCATAGCTTCCACCTATCCTAAATCATATCCAACCTGCGCCGTATATCCATGCTTCCGCCCATCCTATCCAAACTATACCTACAGTCCACCTATATCTTTCCAACCTTCTCCTTATATCCCTACCCCTAGTCCACCTATCTTATCCAACCTACCCTTATATCTCCACCCCTAGTCCACATATCTTATCCAACCTACCCTTCTATCTCTAACCCTAGTCTACCTATCCTATCCAACCTACCCTTATATCTCTACTCCTAGTCCACATATCTTATCCAACCTACCCTTCTATCTCTAACCCTAGTCTACCCATCCTATCCAACCTACCCTTATATCTCTACTCCTAGTCCACATATCTTATCCAACCTACCCTTCTATCTCTAACCCTAGTCTACCTATCCTATCCAACCTACCCTTATATCTCTACTCCTAGTCCACATATCTTATCCAACCTACCCTTCTATCTCTAACCCTAGTCTACCTATCCTATCCAACCTACCCTTATATCTCTACTCCTAGTCCACATATCTTATCCAACCTACCCTTCTATCTCTAACCCTAGTCTACCTATCCTATCCAACCTACCCTTATATCTCTACTCCTAGTCCACATATCTTATCCAACCTACCCTTCTATCTCTAACCCTAGTCTACCTATCCTATCCAACCTACCCTTATATCTCTACTCCTAGTCCACATATCTTATCCAACCTACCCTTCTATCTCTAACCCTAGTCTACCTATCCTATCCAACCTACCCTTATATCTCTACTCNTAGTTGCGCCTCTGTATCCTACTCCTCATATCCCTACCCCTGTTCACCTATACCTATCCAACCCCCTCCCCTCCATCTTATATAACCCCCCTCCCTAGTCCACCTATCACATCAAATCTACTCCTTATATCCATACCCCCAGTTCCCCTATAGGGTTACCCCTATGAAACTACAGTATGAAACTACAGAAACGTCTGAAGGGAATGTCAGCTTCCTTCTATTCAAGATTCCTTTGAACTGTAAGATATTTATTATTTTGCTAAATCATTTTATAGGATAAAAATAGATTTTTTTTTCAGTGCAGATGACTCAATTCAATCTCGGAATCGTCAAATTATAAAAAAGTCTTAATGTCTCATCCTTTTCGGGTAACCTTGTATGCAACCAGCCATTTTTAAACCTAGGTCCATTCATGTACAATTAAATTCCGTTTTGCAGCTTATATTTGCCAGGTAAAAGCTTTTTTTTACCATATTTGGATAATTTGTAATGTTTATTTTAAAAACTTTATTTATCGTGAATTAAAAAAGTTTTAGACTTTATCTAGATTACAAGTTATTTGTTAAAAGAAGACATTTCGAAAAATGATTCGACTCAGAATTGCTTCTGTAAAAGTTGGCAGCCTCCCCCTGAGCATCCTTGAGTTTATAGACGGATATCATTGAAACATACAGAAATGATAAACAAATATTTTTATCAAACCTATGATCCATTCAATTCATCAATTTTGAGATGCCTTACTCTCAATAGCGAAATGTTTACTGAATTAAACCAAATTAAGAGATTTGGACAACTTTAATTTCAACCTTGATCGCCCACAACAAATAATTTTGTCCGTCTGTTACTAATAAAGTGAGATTCTTATTTATATAGTACTGTTAGTAACAAATTTAAAAACTAAAAAGTGGCAATCGACATTTTTAGATCCTCTTCACCGTGCGTAATATCAATCCAATACTTCTTATCGATGTACCAAACAATATTTCGGTAAAGCGATTATCTTAACATTTTTCACGAATCAAATATATCATTAAGTCTTGATCTTTTTGTCGAGCATTTTATATTTGATTAAAAAAATAACAAAACTATTTAGTATGTAAATTAGAAATTAAAATATTCTACATAATATGAATATCAAATATAGTGTTTGAAGAGATCTATAGAATACAAGGCACAGGGCATACAGTCTGCAGACACATCTCTATTTTGTAAAATGTTTCTTTAAAAAATGAAGATTAGCTCTATGCTGTGAGGAGTACGTATTAGAGCACTGGCTACAGCTGAAGACAGATGAGTAGGATGGAGATGAGGCACCATGTTGTTGCTCCACGTGGGTTATTATTTCAGAATCCGTCTGGAACTGTATATTGCAGAGGTTACAAAAGGTATTACTTCTCCAACCCTGTTCCTTCATCCTGGACTCATCTCGGATTGATTTCTCTAGCAGGAGCTGTTCATAAGAGGGGAACTGGCTCGGAGGAGGGGGTTCACAAGTTCTCTCCACAGTGTATGTTTGGTTAGGACGGATACTTGTTGGGTTCGGATTAGAAAACTTCTTTAACCGAGCAACTGATACATAAGCTTCTCTCATATTTACATTATACCCCCTAAAAATAAAATAAACCATTAAATCGTAACTTGCAGGTGTCTATTGTGTTTAAATATGATTTCTTACCAAAAATTTAGTTTCCTTGATGTTAATGCTGGCGTTTGATCCTGTATCTCAGGATAATGATCACCAACATCAGCCTGAGAGAATTCAAAACATTAGTATAAAAAATGGTTGTGTCCAGCAACCAAAGTGTAAATAGCCAGATCATATTCCATTTTTACCGACCGACTCTTAAACCTCTGTCAAAAATTCATTAACACTCCCATTCAATAAAAAAGTAATAATAAAGATGTGTAGATAAAACTTCAAGATAAAATACTCCAACGTGTTTGCAACGTTGGATTAATATTTGCTTGTATCTTTCAAAAGTTTTAAAACAATATAATATCAAAAGTGTTTATCTATATAATAAAACAAGACATTCGTATATGTGTCACCAATGGCCGGTCAAACAGCTAGACCGATTGGGCTGAACATTTTGTGGACACTCAGGGGTGTTATAGGTTAGTTTAGAAAAAATTGGATCACATTTTTTTTTTCAAGGGCAACGGGCCCTTTAGCTAGTTAATATTTATAGAAAAAACTACTCACCATTTCATTTGTTAGCCAAGATGAAACCTTGGATACTCCAGGTACAGGGTTTGATAATGTTTCCGGTTTAGAGACTGATCCTTGGGTAGATTTCTTTAATATCCCTGGAATATTAGGTCTTGTTGAACTAATCTCAAATGTCACAGATGATTTTTTCGCAGGATTATTACTAGAGTTCGGAGAACATTCAGGCAAAGACTGAAAATTATCTTCCTGAAAAATTCCTTCACGACCAGACATATTTGAAAGACTGGAAGCTTTTCCATTGGTTCGAATTTCACATTCCTGATCCGAGTTTTCATAGTTTGCCGTGTTTTCGTTATCATCAGAATTGTAGAAATCATGGGAATCATCGGAGCCAGGTTCTGTCAGAATAATTTCATTACTACGCCACCTGCTGGGTTCCAAAGACTTCTCCGAAGGTTTGATACTATTCTCCGGGTTTACGGAATTACTAGTCCCTGGTAGTATATTGCCATCTAGAATTTTCTTCTCAAGCATGATATTTATAGGTTGCTTACGCTTTGGTTCCTCCGAATGCTGGTTTTCGCCACTTGTCTTGGATTGATTCAAGACCTTTTCCGTGGTGCCAGAGTTAGCGCTGCTTTTTGCAGACAGTGAAGATGAAATATCATCATTTATTTTCACTCTTTTATTTTCTCTTTTCTCGTTTTCTTTTTCAGAGCTTTTTCTTTTACGTTCTTTCCGCTCCTCGGTCGATTTCTTTTCTTTAGAAGACTTTTTCTTCTCGGTTTTATTGTTTGATCTTCGTGTTTGTATTTTGCTAAAGAATTCATCTATTCTAAGCCCTAGAGTATAAATGACAATTAATTTAACAACTAAATGTACCCTCTTTACCGTCAGAGCTGCCAACTTTTGAATGATGGATATCGGGATTGATCCACTCTTTATTTAATCTCCAGATTAAATAATACTCTTGTAATTAATCTCCAGATTAATTAACCGATCGGGATTAAGGATATTCCAATCTAAAGTTTTCAGCTCAGGTCATAAAATAAAATTATTGCTCTTAATCTTAAAGTAAAAAATTATTAAACAAATACCACGTTAAGTTTTAGTTCTAAAGAGTGGCATGTCTAACTCACAACGGTACTCTATAAACCTCTATCTGAGCAACAATGAGGAAGATATGGTATTTTTTCTTTCTTAAAACGTGTTGAATTCCAACAGTTTTCATTCTTGTCTCTGCGGCATCAATCTGCAAGTGACATTTACAGAAAAAAAATATAATAACATTTTTTAGCTGTAATAACATTGATATCTCATTCACCCTTAATTAGACAAAGGTTTAAAGAGTACAGTTGTGAATTAGAAAGATACTTGACGTCAAGTCAGCATCATTGCAAAAACTGACTCTCCAGTGGGAGGCTGTGTGTTAAACAGCCCCTGGCTATCAATGCCTCCCCGTCTCAAGTTTTAATAAATATGCTTTATAAAAAATTTATTCAATATGTAATGTATGCTTGGGACAAAAATATATATATGATTTGATTTGAATACCTGAGTTTTCGATGAGTTTACTTACTGCCAGTACCCAGGGTTTTGTAATCTTATCTTTTCGTTGGTTCTTCAGATAGTAATCTTTAAACTCCTTGTGAGAGAAAACACCTTTACATGAAGATAGGATCAGAAATATATGATTTGTCAGCTTAAAAGTTAAGAATGCAGAGCTGCTGGGAGATTTTGAATGGTGGATATCTTTTCTTAATATCCAGATTAAATAATGCTTGCTCTCCTCTTGTTATTAATCTTTAGATTAATTAACCCATCGGAATTAAGAATATCCCATTCTAAAGTTCCCACTCCCAGCTCAGGAGAATTTGATTGCCTCATTAATTATTTTCTACTTACAGTTAGTGAATAGAACAAAGCTTACATAGTTTCTCAAAAACTTTTAAAAGTTTAAAGTTCTTAAAAGTTAACAACTTAATAATATTTTAGAAATATATAAGTTGCAACATTTACAAACTAAAAAATTCGTAGCAACATTTCTTGAAAAAAAATAAAAAAATAACAAAGACTAGTTTCAGTCCAAATATCTGTTCCCGCGATAGTAGGATTTTATTAGTTAAAAAGTTTTAAAAGATTTGAAAGGTTTGAAAGGTTTCAAAATTTTAAAAAGTTTGAAAATTTTAAAAGGTTTGAAAAGTTCGAAAGGATTGAACGGATAGAATGGATTGCAAGATTTGAAAGGGTTGAAAGGGTTTTAAGGTTTGAATGGTTTAAATGGTGAGAAAAGTTAAAAAATTAAAAGGTTTGAAAAGTTTGAATGGTTTGAAATAAATATTCTGATGGTATCTAACCTAGAAGCATGATTTGAACAGAAACAGGTATACCTTTTAAAGGTTGAATACTAATATCCTTATGCAGTTTGTCCCTTAAACTCTTCACTGATTTTCCAAGGGTTTCAGAGTCAAATAATTTTCCTAAAATTATAAAACAATCAGTGTTTAAACATCCATTATAATATAAAAAAATAAAACCGGAAAACTGTGGAATTCTCGATTTCTTTTATGGTTATAGATTACACATTTCGAAAAATGTATAGGCGCAGAATTTCTTCTGGGTAATTTCACGGCTAAGTCTATCAAACCTTGTTTATCCTTTACTAAAAAGCATAGGAAAGTCTGGCAGATAGAAACATTGTGGGCTCAGCAACATTAACTCTAACCATTAATTCTCCAGGCTTGGAATAATATAAAAATTCCCATTCTCTTTGAAGTTTTACCTAGAATGGCCATCCTTTGGTTGTTTGAGATTAAAAATTATCCGATAAAAATTAACATATTGTGCCTGAAGTTAATGTTTTCAATGAAATGTCGTTATGACTCAGGGGTGTATATTTTTATGAAAAATTATTCCCCCCCCCCATGAGTAAGGGATTTTTATTTAGAGGTGTAAATGTTTTTGTCCCTGAATTGCAGAAATTAAATTATGCTTAATCGAGAAATAACTGAATGTTTAAGGGTCAAAGTAAGAAAGAGGATGAAAAACTTGTCTCTGATGTCCAATTTTCACTTTTCCCCAATGCAATAATTCTTTAAATTATTCACTACTGTGCAACTTTTTAATATTTGGAAAAAAAACTTGAAGAATTAATTAGTGACATTTTTCAGGTAAAAGGAAGAACAAGGAAGACATTCATTCTACAGGTTTGGTTATTACTGTAACCTTTATAGGCTAGGAGTAGATCCCCTCTAGCTAGTCCTCCAACCTCGTGTTGAATATCAGAGCATACAAGGATAAAACTTCTCAACCTAAACAGAAATACATTTAAATAATTTTTCAATATTAAAGTTGAAAGATAATGTTTTTTTGAAATAATAAAATAACCCTAATTGATTAAGTTTCTAAGTTTTATAAAGAAAGGCAAATAATTATTGCTGTTGACGCTGACAAGTATATTTTCTTTCAATTGGTTTTGCAATATCATGATTTCAGTTTGAAAATAGTGTAATCTTACGAAATACTAGCTTGGGATCCCAGATTTGCTTGGAGTTTGGTCTTAGAATTATGACTAAGAACATTCCCGTTATTCTGCCTAGTTCCCCCAAATCAGTCAAGGGCTTCATGAGTTATGATCAGACATCCATACAGAGATTACTATTTTATATGCAGGGTTACCCACATAGGACGAGACTGTAAAGACGACCTAAACAGAGAGACTGTCCCAAGTTCAAATTGCGACTAATGCCTTTTACGAAGATTGGGCAATAAACGAAAAAAGTTTACAGTTGCAGATATTCTTGAATATAGAAAAGACAGTATATATTCTGTACAGTCGTCTATGAAGTCTCATCCTTTGTGGGTAACCCTGTATATAATATATATACATAATTATCTTTGTAGGTATGAAGAAGATTGCTAAATTGTTTTTTACCCGGATTTAAACTCATAGAAGTCCTTGTAGTCTGCTCTGAATTTGATAATTTTCCTGGAAACATATTCGTCTACTCCTGGAATATCCTGGAGACGATCTTCATCATCTTTATACAGATCGATAACCTCCTGATCGTCTAACAAGTCTACAGGAGGAGGCTTTTTCTCTTCCAGTGGATCCTCTCCACGTCGTTTTTTCCTTCTCGAGCTCTTGTTTTCCTTGTTATCGTCTACACTACTATTCGTTTCTTCTAGTACATTAGATTTACGCTTCAAATCTTCTTTTCTGAAATTTAAAGAGGGGCCTGTTGTACTTTTTATCGGAATCTCGGGGTTCTTAGAACTGACATTACTTATTGCACATTCACTCATAGATATATCTTTAGCTGGAAGACTCGCATGCATAAAAGGTGACTTTTCTAATGCTATTTGTTCAGAGGTATCGGAACTGTCATTTGCAGGTGCATCCTCTACAGAAACCGCATCTTTACGCAGGGCACTGACATCTTCAGTAGCTAAATCGCTGGGCAAGGCACTATGATCTTCAATTACCGAATCATTGTGAAGGGCACTATCATCTACAGTAGCTGAATCGTTGTGCAAAGCACTATCATCTTCAGTAGCTGAATCATTGTGCAGGCCAATATCATCTACCACAGCTGAATCATTATGAAAGGCAGCATCATCTTCAGGTTCTGAGCTGGAGGGTGAATCCAATAAGGAATTTGTAGACAAGTTCAGGTCACTTTTTGACAATCTGAATTTGAAAGGATTATTTTCATCCACTCTTCGTAACACTATATTTTGACCTTTTTTCATGTCAGAAGGGGATTCAAGCCTGATTCCCAGTTCAGCTGCAAGGTCTTGAGTCTCCTGAATACAATCAGTCACTGGAAGTGTTTGTGGTGATTGAGAACAACGCTGTTGTGTATATGAAATGCTTGACTGTGGTTCAGTGATTGGAATTGTTGAGACAGTAGATGAAAGATTGGTGCACTGCTCAGGTTGTCCAGATATTATTGGAGACTTTTCAGAACTTTCTTCTGGAAACCTTAACTTTATGTTTCCTTGAGATAAAGACTGGATTGGTGTGGGAATATTATCAGGTACCGTTGGAAGACCTTTGTCCATTAAATCTAACTTTCTGTTTTGAGGAACTGAGTTTAATATTTTCTTCTGTTCTTCATGGAGTGCTTTTCTAAGAGATTCTATGGTTTCTCCTCTTAAACTTACTTTTTGACTAGAACCCCCTTTAGGACTAGTTCCTTGTTTTGGAGACTTTCTGGGACTGTTTCCAGGTCTTAGAGATGGTGACCCTGCAGTACTGTTAGGAAACCCGTTGGATTCTTTTTTAGGAGATTTTGATGATAGCAATTGTGTTGGAGAATTTTTGGCAGAATTTGATTGTCTAGGGCTGCCAGAGGAGCTAGAGAGTGGAGAACTGATGATGGTTTTAAGGAATTCCGGATGAGATATATCAGGAAAGTTTTTCGGAATTACAAAGGTTTCCTTGGCTGCGATGGGTTCCCAAAACATAATAAATTCTTCTCTGGGTCTCAACTGTTCTAATCTTACTTGAGAAGTGCAAAGGTCTCCATCTATGATGTTTCTGGGTTGGAATATATCCGTCTTGATCTGGAGAAACAAACATGAAGAAGGCTTGTACATATACCTGAGAATTGATAAATCTGTAGTTTTTATCAAATGAATGTTCTCCTCTAGCAAGAGAGCACCTTTCTCAGCCAAAAACTTCATACCTTCATCATTCTTCACAATTATGACATCAAACTTGAGAATTGAATTCTGGCAATTGTAACCTAGGATCTGAGCTCTTCTTGTACATGCCTTGATAGGGGTGAGATAGATCATAATTACAGGAATTGGTTTCTTATTTGCTTTGATGTAAGCTCTAGCTATACAATCCACACTTCTCTCGGAAAACTTCAGAGGCTCAACTTTAGGTTCACAGTCCTTTAAATAATCTATTAACTTAGACTCTCGGTCCACTGCTAGTCCTTGATTCTTCTCTAATAACTCCAGAAACCTGGATTCCTCTGCCACGACCTCTACAGTTAGAGCTAAGCTTAAGGAACCTACAGTTACAAACAGGGTTCCATTTCTCAAGTGGGTTTTTAACTCAAATCCTTTACCGTAACCAAAATCTTTAAGGATCATATCTGGATCATGCACTAAAATAATCCTTTTCGCAAACACTATCAAAGTGAATCCCAACCTGGTTGTTTTATTTTGAAGTTTAAACACATTTAAAAGAATATCTTCATCAAGCTCCGAGCATATACTGATAAGCTTGATGCGAACCTGCTCCGGGGGTGAGGTAACATACTGCATCATCAGGGCGTGTCCACAAGTTCTTTCATACTCAGAAAATAGCCAGACAAAATTTTCCAGGGTGATTATACAGTCTCTTGAAGATATATTAAGAACATTTAAAAAATCCTGTTTAAAACCAGTCAAATCCTGAACAATCTTAGCGTGTACGATATCATCATTGACTTTCTTCTTGTTTGGTATAAATAGTTTGGCAGTATCCTCCCTATATCGTGTCATACTCACAGCAAACTCAGGGTCAGGTAGTTCACTTTGTCGCAGGAATATAAGGATAGTTGACTGCTCAGCAACTATACAGGTGTACTCCTGAGGTATATTGTTATCAATAACCTTAATCCTGAAGAATGAAGAACATTCCAGATTCTCTGCAGAAGTAATAGGTCTAGGTCTAAACTCAGTTGGTGTATGTTGGATGGAATTGACTATGAAGATATAAAGCTTTCTTGAAGTATGATCAACTTTAACCTCAGGATCATTAAATATATCATGAGGGAATATCCAAGGGGTTGTGCTAAACAATGCAGATTGGAGGGAAGATTTCTTCTCCTCTAAATATGTTTTACTGATTCCGTTCCAAGAGGCTTTACTTATCAATTCATCTCCACTTATTTCATTGTTAATAAACTGAATAAAACAAGCACGAAAATTGTGATAATCTTGTAGGTCATTGCTAGCTTGGTTAACTCTTCTCTTGATAATTTCAGTGAAATGATGTGAATCTGAGCTTATTTTCTCCGAACTATCGGACGTAGGTTTACCAACCTTCAAAAGTTCAGGCACTGGCCTCGGCTGTATTGGTCGCTTGGTATTATTAATAATAGTCGTTGGTATTTGATAATTTGTATTATTACTGTCCGCAGTAGTAGGTAATTTGGACCGACCACGTCCTCTTTTTCCTTTACTCTCTAAAATCAATCCTTGACGTCCAGTTTTCTGTCCTCTTCCCCTCCCTGCTTTAATCCTAATATCAGCTTTCTTTTCCTCCTGATGTTTAATATTCGCTGGTTTAGGATTCTGGAGAAGAGGTTTCCTAACAGGGTTCCAGGTGCTATCTGGAGATTCCAATACTGGCACATTCCCACCTGCACAAAGTGAGCAATTGTTATTTGTAGTTTAACCCTATCAAANGGGAGACAGCGATTAAAAAAATAACTGTCCTTAATGAGTTGCATGTCTTTTAACATTGGTACCGGCCCCTAACCCTATCTAAAAGAAAAGCTAGATGTTGTTAATATTAATCTAATAAATTTATCTTGTCTGGGTGTCTGTATGTTTGTATCCTATAAACGTCAAAACGGCTGAACCAATCGGGCCCAAATGTTTTGAGGGACATCACGTGACCACAGGGAAGGTTAATGAATGATAAAAATTTTAAAAAAATGTGTTTTAAAGGTTTTTATTTTTGTAAAAAATTTAGATTCTTGAAAATCCGCGAATTTATTTTTAAAATCCGCAATATTTTTTTCTTCTTTGTTTTAAAATGTAAACAAAAAGAACATGTTCACAATTTAAATAGAATATGGGAGCGAAGCGCCTTAAAAGCCTAGAAAGAAGGGCGCGAAGCGCCTAGAATTTCTAGTCTTATAAATTTAGCTTGTCTGGGTGTCTGTTTGTTTGTATCCAATAAACGTCAAAACGGCTGAACCGATGAGACCCAAATTTTGTGTGGGACCTCACGTGGCCCCAGGGAAGGTTTATGGCCAATCAGACTTTAAATATGCAATCTTAAAATATTATTATCTTAAATTATTTAATTTAAAAAAAAACTATTACTTAAAGTAAAAGTATCCCGAGCTGGGAACTTTTGAATGGTGGATATCAGGATTAATGCTTAATCCGCTGTTTTTGCTAATCTCGAGACTAACATAATCTTGAGATTATGTTAGACTTGAGATTAAATATTTAGATCAACAAATTGGATTCTAAGAATGCCAGATTGGTTCGTTTTCTTGACTGAAAGAGCCCTCACTTAATTTCTCACCCATTTATCGTTAAAATTGGTTACAAAAGAATCTCAAACCTGTTATTCAATATTTTTCTTAACCGATTATTAATTTACAAAATGGCCGACAACAATTCTTTATTTGTTAGAAATTGCGGATTTCTCTCATGGGATGGAATTTATTTTCTAGGTCAATACAATTTATTTATAATTTACTATATACCTGCACTCTCATTGGAGAAAATAATGTAAAGATATCCAAAGAGAGAGAAAAAGAGTGGATTAGGGACTAAAATTAAAAGTTTCCACAGTGGATATTCGGATTAAGTAGTTGGGATTAAAGGTTATCCATTCTTAAGTTCCCAGCTCAGGATTCAATCCTGTAAAAGGACCGAGTTTGCTTGAAAAATACATCCCGATCTTAAATTATTTAAATTTGTAAAATTTCGAAAATGCGCGAAAAAAATATGATGAAATCCGCAAAAAAAAAATTTATACTATACAAAGAGAAGATGCTCACAGATAAAGCCACAATTAAAAGTTTAAAAAGAAGATGGACACAAAGCACCCTAAAAGACTAGTATTTAAAAATCGTCTTACCAAGATTTATATCTGAAGTCTGTTCCTGAATATGCGGAGGTATTGAGGTTCTTTTGGAGTGAGATACTAGATCGGAGTTATCTATTATCATTCTCAGTTGAGGAACTGGATTGATTGGAGGAGGTGTATTTAAGATATCCTCTCTATTCAATCCTTCAGCTTCATCTTGAGAACCCGGATTATCTAAAGTCAACCGTCTAGTTTCCTCTACACTACTGGAGCTTGTAGACGGAGCTATCAAGTTGTTAATGGATATATTATCTGGTTGTGTTGGATTGTTTGTATTAACAGGATTATTTCCTTTTACAAGAATGTAATCTGACTCCTTCATATTGTTTTTCACGTCCATACTGCCCTTATCGCCCAAACTCAACTTATTCAAAAAACTTACCAGATCTTTTAAATACGTTTCTTTATCCTCCAAATCATGTAAAAATAACAAAAAGCTGGTAAACTTCTGTTCTAAGCCTTCTGATATCGACATATCTGATGGCATTTTTTCAACAAAATCTTTTAATGTCAAGTTCCACACTAGAAGCTGCAACAATAACTTCCAAGTTTCCACCGTAGGATTTCTTTTCATACAGATCTCCAGAATTTGCTTAAATGGGTTTGGATCTTTAGATAAGCATATGAATGGGTTTGCTGGGAACTTGATGAAACGAATACTGCTATTGAAGGTTTCATGTATTTCCGTAAGAGAAACATTACCAGTTTTCAGATAAAATCTGAACCAATGAAAATATTTGAACGAGGTGGAGTTCGCCATCAATTCTAAACGGAATTGATTCACACTGATTTCACCTTTCAGAAGGTTTAACAAAGCATTAATTTTTGACTGAGTAAGATTTACACAAAATTTATATAGATCCCTTACAGTTTCTTTTGCTAGTTCTAAATTAATAGCAGTACTTTTCAGAATAGAAAGAGGCTCAAGAACCTCAACACTCTCCGGCCATAACAGCCGACAAGTTGCTTGAGTTTCAGTGCAATGATCTGCTTGGCTGATGGTTGGAGGTTGTCTGTGTAAACCTTTATTTGCTTGTAACTGTTGGAGTTCACGCTGTCTAGTTTGCTGTTCTATAGAAATCCGCATTCTCTCTTCATCAGAGAATTCATGGGATTTCATGGTTTGCAAGGTTACAGGACTAGATTGAGCAGTTGAAACCAAAGGCTTTGATGATACTGGAGATGAATAGTTAGGGATTGGAGTGGGGTGCTGAGCAGTATACCCCCCTGATTGATATTGACCCCCTCTTGTTGGTACCGGGACTTGTGCCTGAATACCCTGTATTTGACCTTCAACTATTGGCAGATTCCCCCAACTCTGTTGCTGAACCGAGGAAAAGTTTTGTTGTTGTTGCTGTTGTTGTGGTTGTGGTTGTGGTAGTGGTGGTGGAGCCGGATTCCGTATACTAGATTTATGTGGGTATCCTAATTGGTTGTTCATTCTTCCTCCAACTCCAGGAGCACTCATCTGATTCACAGACTGCTGGGGTGGAAAAGCTTCATTTAAATGCTGATAAAATCCTGAACTCTGAGAAGGCACTGAGCTATGTATTGTTTGGACTGAATGCGATGTTGATGCCATTGTACTATAATGTTCGGAATGAGGTAGGTACTGATGAGACTGCTGGTGTGGAATAGGCTGGGATTGTAACAGCTCTTGTAGATTTGGATCAGACTGATGGTGCGAATAAGGATGTCCTTGTCCCTGCTGTTGAGCATGTAGATAAGGGGGGGGAGGTGGATGAGATGGACGCCTGTTTACAGGTCGCGCTGGTATCTGCTGCTGCTGAGCTTGATTTGTTAGTAGGTAAGACTGATGTTTCGAATGGGGTTGAGCTTGAGGTTGAAACTGTAAATAAGGTTGAGGTTGTGGCTGGTGTGGAACTTGTAAATGAGACAGAGGTTGTTGAGACGCCTGATGGGGATGTCTGTGCTGTTGAACTTGTGAATAAGGATGGGGTTGTAGATGAGACTGATGGCATGGAGTTGACTGAGCTTGAAGATGTGGACGGTTGGGAAGACACTGAGGTTGCGGATGTTGTTGATTCTGGGATTTTGGTTGAACTTGTCTGTTTGAGTGACTTAAAAGGTGAGAACGAAGTTCTGGTAGTGGTTGAGGCTGTCGGAATTGTTGTGGATATGATTGAGGATGCGGTTGAGAAAAAGCATTCCCTTGTTGATGGAAATAAGGTTGAGGATAAGGCGGCCTTATTGGGTTCAGATAAGGATGAGGTAAACGGCTAGACTGAGAATATGGTTGGGAATGAAAATTTGCAAAAGGCGCAATATTAGGATTAAACTGAGAATTCTGTTGGTATTGAGGTTGTTCATGAGCGGGGGGGAAAAACTGGGAATTTGATTCAGATTCTTGCAGGGGATTTTGAGAAGCATGTAGATTTGTCTGTGGTTTTCTTATAATTCTGTTTTGTTTATTCAGTTGACGAGTTCTTAATGTGTCGATTAGAACGGGCTCATAAAGGGGGGGTACAGTAGGATCTTGGTTTGTTACAACTTCTTCTTGCTGACTGTTTGTTTCCACTAGATTGATATTAAGTTCACATCGTGGAGGAGATACAGGGGGTTCCTCGTACTCAGGGTTATGCATGACCTCCCCAACTATTTGCACACTAGGAGGAGGCTCAAAATCTGGCACCTCTGGATTCTCAGTCTTTTCTTTGACAGGCACAAATTCAGATGATTCAGAATCAGTTGAAACATTATTCTGTTTGCGGCGCAGCTTAGCAGGAACAACCTTTAACACTTGTACACTTGCAGGCGGAGGAAAATCTATAGGAAGCTCAAACTTATCATTCGAAATGTTAGATTCATCTGTTGTTGCAGCATCAGGTCTCTTGGTAGTATTTTCTTTTTCTAAACCTAAACTTGTGCTTAACACGAGAGCTTTTTCACTGGTGGAAAGTTTATCAATTGGAGGCTCAGACAAATCCTTGGAATTCAGATCTGAACATTCCTGTCCGAGAGAAACTGCTATTACAGCTTTCTCACTGGTTGAGAGTTTACTAGGTTCTAGCTCAGGTACCGGTTCTGGTTGGGGTAAAATGGCAGTTGAAGATTTCTCTAATACATTAGATCTGGGAGGTTTTATTATTCTGGCGGAAGAAGGATCTGGAGAAGTTATTGGATATTCAAGCAAAGATTTTTCATGAAATAAGTCTTTCCTCAAGGTCGGATCTGGTAGTAGGGTTTGGTCTGGTATTGGAGTAGCACCTGGTAACATAGTGGGATCTGGTTCCAGGGTTTGATCTAGTGACAGAGTTTTATCTGGTATCTGAGTTTGATCTGGCTTATGAGGTGCATCTTGTAGCAAAGTTGAATCTCGTAGTCTACTAAGAGTTGGTAGCAAAGTATGATCTGGTTGCAGACAATGTTCTTGCCCTATCCTACTTAAAAAAAATAGATGGTCAAAGTTTTCCAGCGCTCTTAATTTTTCAATGTTAAAAACTTTCCTTACGTTCTTGGGTTACTTAATTTTTCAGAGGATGAATATTTTAGGCTAATATCCTGACATAACGATTCTCTGTTAAGAATTAAATAATTTAAGATTGTTATTTTCATTTTTTAGGGAAAAACTTAATTTGATTTTTTTTGCCGAGCATAAAACGATGTCCATAGACCATCCCTAGTTTCATTGTTAGTGTGTTCATTGAATTCAGGATTTTTTAGAGCAGATTCAGCTTTAAAATCTTTCCTACTGGATTCAGAAATATGTTCTTTAATGGAGGATTCCGATGCCAGATCTTTGTTGTTTGATTCTGCAGTTAGGGCTACAGAAACCAACTGTGGTGTTAAATCTATAATTTTTGATTCAGAAGACAAATCTTTATTACTGGATTCAGGGGGAATTTCTGGGTTCCTGGATACAGATTCAGGTTCTCGGGCCTTCGACTTTACTTTTAACAGTTTTCTCTGGAAAGCTTCAATGTTCACAGCTATTGCACATTCAAAGATATTCCTGAAGCTGCACAAACTTTGTCAATCAAATAATCAAATAATTGAACTTTTATCTAATTGTTTCATAAGAAATATGTCTGCGGTTGTTAAAACCTATTCGTAAAGGAAAGAAAGATACACGATAGCAGCTAATATTTTATTATAGAATATAAACTAATAGAATGCTTGATTGAAATAATCGTTTGCCTAGAGCTGAACTGAATATCATGATTCCGAAGAATAGATTTGAGCTGAGGTAAATCTTCATTAGTTGGCTGATCAACTGCAAACCCAATGAAGTCCCTAATAGAATAACAAATATACCTTTTCTTCATGAAAAAATGTTCAACCCCCCCCCCGCACTCACATCATCCCTTCATTTAAAATTAAGATGAAATAATGCTAGACTTACTTGATGATTTTTGTATTGTTTAAATACTCAGGCTTGAGAACTGAAAAAAAAGAATAGATACTTAATCATGTTGTTACGTATTAGAGAGTAGCAAAAAATACAACTTATTTGATTGAATCAACTAGTTGTGAAAGAGAATTGTAAATAGATTCCTAATAAACTTTAATTGGTATTACTTTAACTTACAAGATTGGCATGTTTAAGTATATTTTAGACCTATTTTTGAAATATTAATGATGGGATTTAAATTTTTTATGAGTTGTCAAGTTTAATAAAATAAATGAATAAAAAATTAAATCCTTTCTTGATAAAAAAAAATCTTGTTACCTAGTAATGAATAGTTTTCGTCTAGAGGTCTGAAGACAGCAAATCCAGAATTAGGAAGTTTATCTATAAATATTCCAGAATTGGGAAGTCTAACTACAAAATAATCCAGAATTAGGAAATTTAACTACTACAAAATAATCCAGAATTAGAAACTTTATCTACATAATAAACCAGAATTAGAAAGTTTATCTACAAAATAATCAATAAGAATGAAGTTTAACTACAGTATAATCCAGAATTAGGAAGTTTATCTACAAAATAATCCAGAATTAGGAAGTTTATTTACAAATATTCCAGAATTAGGAAGTTTATCTACAAAATAATCCATAAAAAGGAAGTTTAACTACAGTATAATCCAGAATTAGGAAGTTAATCAACAAATATTCCAGAATTAGGAAGTTTATCTACAAAATAATCCATAAAAAGGAAGTTTAACTACAGTATAATCCAGAATTAGGAAGTTTATCTACAGAATAATCCAGAATTATGAAGTTTATCTTCAAAATAATCCAAAAATCAAATCAAATCAAATTATTTATTAGGCCACAAGTTTACAACATTGGTATTAATAAAAATAACTAAACAATTATATATATTTTGTGGCCGGGGAGCTGAACCAGGGGAGCTGTTTTCACACGAGCTCCCCTGGTTCAGCATAATAATGATTAGAATCAAACGTTGTGCAATGTGCATTAATGGAGCACATAAATGGCGGAGAGTAGCGGCGGTGGCGGTTGGAGAACAGGAGGCGGAGACATAGCGTCAATCTTTTCAGTCAGAAATACAAAAAGTTTTAGACACAATAGTGTAAAAGATTGCTCTTGGTAAAAAAATATTATTAATACATGTTATTCTGACCAAGATATGAGATCAAAAATAAGCTATATATTTCTTCAGACAAAGACACATGTATATGATATTCATTTTATGTATCAAGAATTAAAAATATGAGCAGATCATATATAAGACCTTGGAAACCCCAATCTAAACTAAGAAACTAGAGTTGAACAAGTATAGCAAAATAGCCGGTTGCATTCAAAGTTCGATAATCTATCCAGAAAAGGTTGCTTAAGTTTGTGGAAGACGATGCCTGGCCGCGTTAAACTAGTTCCACAAGATTCAACAGAATGAGATAGAACGGATACGGGGCATAAGTACTGATATGATCTTGACAGTCTACACGTGCGATATCGATATTGACTCTAGTTCTGAACCCTCTAGTAATAAGTTATAAGAAATATATATATACTGGAAGTTATTTATGCGTTTTATTAGAGTCTGACTCACGTCCTCTATATTGGTGACCCCTGACTTTGAACATACAGTTAAACGCTATCCAGTTTAGTGATTTTCTTGAACTTTGAACATTAAGTGATACATCCGAGCATCATGACCGACACGAAAGTAACTCCAACCGAGTTCGTCGCCAAAGTCTCCGTCAAGCTCCCGGATTTCTGGACAGAGGACCCCGACCTGTGGTTCCTTCATGCAGAGGCAGCCTTCAGAAACGCCCAGATCACACAGTCAATAACCAAATTCGACCACATCGTACAGAAACTTCCCCAGAAGATTATGGTCTCGGTACGCGGCCTGATCATGGGTTCTGCTGCCTCCTCAGAAACCCCTTATGAGGATTTAAAGGCCAAACTGGTCTCCTCGTANTGTGGAAGACGATGCCTGGCCGCGTTAAACTAGTTCCACAAGATTCAACAGAATGAGATAGAACGGATACGGGGCATAAGTACTGATATGATCTCGACAGTCTACACGTGCGATATCGATATTGACTCTAGTTCTGAACCCTCTAGTAATAAGTTATAAGAAATATATATATACTGGAAGTTATTTATGCATTTTATTAGAGTCTGACTCACGTCCTCTATAAGTTTATATTTAAATTCATTTTTATTAGCAATACAAGACAAAGCTGGGTCAAGTTCATTCCAACAGGAAGTGAAAGAATACAAAGGAAATCTGTTAACAAATACATTTTTACATCTAAGAACAAAAACTTGATCTCGATTTTTTAAGGGGTATTGGTGCATCTCAATATCTAAATTCCTGGGGAACACCTGATCCATAAAGAAAGAAGGAGGGGCGTAACTAAAAGCTATGAAGTGCATGAACAAAAGTTTTTGCTGAAGAATAAGGTCCAGGAAGGAGAGTATTTTTAATTCATAAAATAGAGGTTCAGAATAAGCATTATATCTAGCTTCAGCAATTGTTCTAATACATTTTTTTTGTATAAGACTCAGAGAATTAATATTTATTTTTTAGACTGGTACAGCTTACAACTGGTAAACAAAATAAAAAGTGAGGATGGACAAGAGCATAATTAATACTTTTTAGAGCTGAGGGCGAGAGAAATTTTTTTAACCTTGTTCAAGGAAAACATTGACTTTGAGATTTTAAAAGTGAGGTTTTCATCAACGTAAACACCAAGAATTTTATAAGCAGGACAGGGGACAGAATTGTTATGAATTCTTTCGATAGGATAAATCAATTCAGGGTCGACGGGTACATCAAAATTATTATCATTGAAAAAAAATCTAGCTTCTGGAATAATTTTACCCTTAGGATGAAATATCATTGACTAGGTTTGAGATGCATTTATCGCAAGTTTGTTAGAACAAAAGCCAAATCTCAATTCCAATAGGAAGTCTATCTACAAAATAATCCAGAATTAGGGAGTTTATCTACAAAATAATCCAGAATTAGGGAGTTTATCTACAAAATAATCCAGAATTAGGGAGTTTATCTACAAAATAATCCAGAATTAGGGAGTTTATCTACAAAATAATCCAGAATTAGGGAGTTTATCTACAAAATAATCCAGAATTAGGGAGTTTATCTACAAAATAATCCAGAATTAGGGAGTTTATCTACAAAATAATCCAGAATTAGGGAGTTTATCTACAAAATAATCCAGAATTATGGAGTTTATCTACAAAATAATCCAGAATTAGGGAGTTTATTTACAAAATAATCCAGAATTAGGAAGTTTTTCTACAAAATAATCCAGAATTAGGAAGTTTATCTACAAAATAACCCAGAATTAGGAAGTTTAACTACAAATAATCCAGAATTAAGAAGTTAATCAACAAAATAATGCAGAATTAGAAAGTTTATCTTAATTTAATTCAGAATTAGGAGGTTCATATGAAAGTTAAGACACTATTAATAATTCAGATTTATAAAAATCTATAACATATAAATGCGTTTTAGAGAGCATTTTTTAAATCATAATATTTTACAGAGTTTAACTTTACATGGAAAGATAATTAACCCTCAAGTTTAATTCCAGAAATGTTTTAAACTAAGACTATGAGTGTTAACCTTTAATCAGCTGTTGAGTAGCAGGAGGAAGCGAAAGATTAAAGAACTCTGAAGGCTAAAATAAAACAGATAAATTACAATAAATAGAATCTGCATTCTACAATATCTTAAAAACAATATTTATATAATTCAATGTTTTGTTACCTTGGTAATTAAGGTAAGATTAATAGGCTTACTAAACAGTTTAGGATACATCGTGAGTACACAGCACTTTAAATCTAAAAATGAAAAATATGTAAAGTTTAATTGATTATATTAGAGCAACAGGACAGTCTCATTTTGTGAATTTAGGTTACTTCTGGGCTATGGCATCTCAAGACCGAAATCAGGAAATAAAAAAGGTTCGGATTCGGAGCACACTGCTGTAAACAGTAGAAAGTAGGATTTTACTCTGGATCACATGAACCCAAAGAAGATAAACGGCCGGTCAGAATAAACAAATTTTAAATAATTCATTTTTTTATTTTGGAAATGAAATTTGAACAGAAAATTTCAAGAAATTTAACATTCTTTATAACTTATTATAAAAAAGGGTGGCGACTAAAGTAACATATGAGAGACCCAATGTCGCAAGCACCTGGCGGGAAGCGGAGGGGAGGGGGGAGGAGGTTTGTCATAAGGAATCATAAGGAATTGGAATCTGCAAGAGACCCCATTGTGGGCCCCCCAGACCGCCCAGAAAGCAGGGTGCACTGCCCCACCCCTGTTCTAACTAGACCTTTAAATCCCCATCATCTAGTCCAAATCTAGAGAAATAAAGTAGATACATTCCAGTCAGTTGGCTAACCAATTAAAAACCATTGGTTGGTTGGTATCTGTCAACCCTTTAGGTGAAGACTATAGGT